GATCTTACACATTCGGTAGGACTCCTTGGGCGGGTGATCAGCTCGTCGCAAGGCCTCTACCTGTACACAAACACAGAAAAACGCACACACACAAACTAAACATCCATGCCCTGAGTGGGATTCGAACCCACGATCCCGGTTTCCAAGCGAGCGAAGACAGTACATGCCTTAGACCGCTTGGCCACCGTGACTGGCAATTACAAATGTTGTCAAGAGTTATTCTTGAAGAATGAAAATTTTTGCCAACTGAAGTAGTCGAAATTCTATCTGTCTGTCTGTCCATCCGTCCGTCCGTCCGTCTATCTATCTATCTATCTACAGTTATTTGTTGGTCCTTTGCCCCTTTTCAGTTTAATGATTTTTACACAGTCGGTAGGTCTTATGGATGAGGAATCAGCCCGTCGCAAAGTCGCTACCTGCACACAGGACAACATAAACACAGAACAAACGCACATAGACATCCATGCCTCATGTGGGATTCAAACCCACGATCCCCGTGTTTGAGCTGCCAGAGGCAGTTCATGTCTTAGACTGCGCAGCCACTGTGATCGGCTCAGTCAAAATTAGGGGAATATTTGATTCATTTAATACGATTAAGTTCTTTGAAATTAATTAGTTTCGGCTCAGAATAATTTTTTTTTTCTGGGGAGTTCGTCCCTCTCTTGGTTTACAACTTAGGTCATGCTTGAAGCCAGCTGCACGAGAGTAAATCAGTCCAAGTTAATGGGAAAACCGAAACCAGACTCTCAAAATTCTAACATTTAACTGGTACAGAAGGTGTAATTTTTGCATGGTCTCTCTGAAGCCACGCTAGTCCAAATTTTAATTTAACAGATATATCACAGGTGGCTGAGTTCACACCTAAGACCCTAGCCACTTGATTTTTCTCTAATTGGAGGATGCTGATTAAGCAGCCCCCCCAGCTCGCCCCGTCCAGCCAATCAGAATCTGAAGTGGGACTTCTGTCGCCAGAAAATTGTAAACCAAGGACATGCGTATCTTAGAGATACTGGCTGAGACACTGAAAATTTCACTCACGGAAGAGACGCGCTCGGTGTATCTCTGAAAACAAAACAATCATACAACACTGAAACATGTTCCAGGCGTTTCTGTATTACAGATGATTTCATTCAGGATTAAGAGCTTCAAACTCTTCTATTATTATTATTGTGTGTATGTACATGTATTGTTCTTTCTCGCCCCAAATGGCATAACTATTGGGAATGTACTTATTTTATTTTTTGGCCTGTTAAAGCTAACTTCAAATTTTCTTGGAATTGTTATTAGTTTATTGCTATTATATAGACTGTCATATTTTGTATTTTTTTCTTTAATTATTTTTGTGTATTTCTATATACTCGTTCTAACTTTGTAATTGGCCACTGTGCTGTTAAGTTTACTCGTAAATAAACACGAATTGAATTGAAATTAATTGAATTGTTGTTGCTGTTGTTGTAGTTACCCAGTTAATTGAGCTGCAAAGCCGTTACATTTCTTTAATTTTTTTTTTCTAGATGGACCGAGTCCGGAGGCAAGAAACACTAGGAGGCAAGTTATATATATTTTTGATATGAATCAGAATAAATACAGTTAATAGTCAGTGAGAGCATGAAAATGTACTTCCTAATGTGCAAATGAAGTTCTGCAGATGACAATAAGAAGAAAATAAATAAGAAAGACCTCAGAGTATAAGTCATAAAGCCTGCATTCCAATCACAGACTTAGAGTCCTACAGAACTTGTGTTGTTGGTGTCTTATGTAGGTAGTGTGACTTTAAAATGCAACAATAAAATGCAGCTGATCTCGCTGGCCAGTGTGTTGCACTCGTGCTTAAATGGTCAAACCATAAAACCCTGTTCTAGGGGAATTGCTTCTTACTGTTTCACAATTATATACACGATACATAAAAATATGAGTGACGATCATAGCGACAAGTATTAGGGGCAGGGCAATATTATCATTACAAACCGATTCTGGGGCCCACCTAGCCTCCTATTCAATCAGAACCGAAAATTCTTTCCCCGCGGATAAAGCGGCCGAGGTCAAGAAAACATGAATCTATATACTAGTATACTGACACCCCATACGCCTTCATGGTGTAATGCTTAATTAGTTAAGCGAATGGATAAATTTATCTAAGTATATTTTATTGTTCTAATTTACTTCAAATTATTATATTTTGTTTTGAGAACTTACAATTGAAATGAAAAATTACCTGCATTAAATATGCGAAACATAATACCACCGTCATCAAATTTGTATTATTAATTTAGATACAGTATTTCATAAAATATTTGTAACATTGTGTGTTTATTATCTATATCTATATTGAATTTCAGTCGCTTATTTCAGTGTTTCATTAGTTATTTACTTAAAACCGAAATGTAAACGTGTAATTCAGGCAGCGACCACGTTTTTAAGCCTAAAGAAAATACACCAATAAATCTTTCATAATTTTCAAGCATTTAGTAGCCTACATCGATTCAAGAAAGTATATTGATTCAGATAACGAAATTTCACCACAAATTTTGCATCCCACATTTTGTTATTAGCGACTGCAAGAGATTACAAATTACGATCTTGGGGTCGTCCTTAATAGCATAATATTAATTTCAAATTTCGTGAAAAATAGCCCTATATTTCAGTAGCTAAAATTTCGGAAATTCCAGCTTTCACACATATTGCATATATTTTATAAGCATATTCTCTTTCCTAAAGCAAATACATTAGGTCAAAAACAAACCGCCAACTAGGCAAAAATAATGAATGAAAAATAAAATAAAATAAAATTGGAAGGATGGAATCCATGCCGTAGTACACACATTTAAAATGTGTGCTTTGTATCTCGGCATCTGGAATATTCCAGGGTATTGCGCTCCTTTGATCAGCATGTTAATGTCATTAAATAAATCATTTAATAGACTTCATATATAACTAGATTTATTAATCAACATTTTATTAATAAACGCAAATATTAAATACTAATCAATGAAAATTTAATATTTAAACGTAACGTATTTTTCCCTTACTCTATTCTAGACTTTGTAAATCGTAAGCACGCGATATTAATAATTACTAATTCTGCCTGAAAGACGACATCAACTACGTACGTGTATTTCCCCTTCAAGATATTTTCGCTCGACTCGATATGCATTCCTTAAAGCACGATCTTTGGCTACTTTGAAATGCTTACACATGCTTTCGTTCTTTTGCAGAGACGTGTGACTTCGGTTCTGATAATGATCTAAACACCTGCGATTGGACTAATCGCAACGGATCGATGCTGCAATGGCAGATAGGTTCAGGATCTTTATCCAACTGGTTGGGAGGTCCCAGCAGGGATTCTAGTTTGGGTGACGATGCTGTAAAAGGTACGTATATAATATAAGCAAATGTTTCCACTCACCTTCATATAGCTCCTGACAGGGAAATGGCGAACTGCGAGCCTATATGGTAATTGACTTTTGTACTGTTTTATGAGTTTCATTTCCGTCATATTTATCAATTGGGGANATTTCGATACACACATAAAATTGGATCTCAGTATGTCTCTTCCAAGTTATTGCTTTCATTCTAGTTATGTGGTAATCAGAATTGATATGCCTGATATAAGTTTTGCATGTTAATTCTTACTCCATTCTTGATATTATGACGAGAATTGATAATTATATAAATGTTGTTCACCAAGTATAACTAGAATGATCAAGTCAAGAAGGACGAGGTGGGCAGGGCATGTAGCACGAATGGGGGAGACGAGGAATGCCTATAGGATATTGGTGGGAATGTCAGAAGGAGAGAGACCACTGAGAAGAGCAAGGAGTTGGTGGGTGGGCAATATTGAAATGGATCTTAGGGAGATAGGATGAGATGGTATCTATTGGATTGATCTGGCTCAGAATATGGATCAGTGGAGGGTTCTTAAGAACACGATAAATAGAACTTCGGGTTCCATAAAATGCTGGGGAATTTTTGAGTAGCTGCAGAATTGGCGGCTCCTCCATAAGGGCTTAGCTCCATGGGTAAGTAAGTAAGTAAGTAGGTAAGCTCTTACTATTTTATGAAATTAGATTTCATTTCTGTCGGTTAACAGAGAACACAGTACAATGTCGGTAAGAGTTAATGGGAAATGTGAAGTAGTATAGGCTTGAATTCGTATATTATGATTCGTGTCCGCACTAAAAGAGAGAGATCTCTTTTGAAATTTTATGTATGACATTAAACTTTTAGTTCATTTTTAGCAATATTAGATAAGGAAAATTAAATTTTGACCATTTATTATAAATACACGTCTAAAAAATTATGACTTCTTTGTGGAATGTTTTATACGCTTCAGTCACACTGCGCTGCTTTATAGTCTTGGGAGAGTTGTCATCAGTCTGGAACGTAGGTACTTTTTGTAGAATACTCATGCCTGTATCAACATTCGAGCCAGGGTCAGGTCATGTGGGATTTGTATTGGACAAACTAATATTGGAATAGGTTTTCTCCTAGTATTTCGGTTTCCCCTGCCAATTATCATTCCACCGACTGCTCCACATTCATCATCTATCATCAGGGGCCGATACAATAGGCCAATTAGTAGCTGAAGCACCAAGTGGACTCAGTCTCACCCCACCCAATGATAGTAAGCTAATTAACTATATCAGCATAATTTCTGAAAATATCGGTAGTTATTCTATGCCAGATATTATCATTTGTCGAGTGATATTTCACAATCTCAGTTTAGTAGGCCTCATATATCATGAGATCTCTGTTTTATTTTTTTTTTGTTTAATACATTATTCAAACTATTGTCCTTTGAAAACAAGATTATAGCTCTATAATCTTTCCTAACAATTCATAATTAACAGAACTTGTTCAGGTAAAGAAATGTTATACATTTTATTATGCTCATGTGTTAAGGAAGCATTCACAAAACAGAGCTCACAGATTTAGATATCTCATTAACATAATAAAGTATTGCCTGGGAAAAATTGCCTGCCAAAAAAATTTTTGGATTTTTAGGAGGGTATGTGTTCTTTGAAACTTCACTGCTGGGAGCAACACCAGATACAAGAGCGGCACAGAATGCTTTCCTGGATAGTCCTGTGATGGACACGACGGGAGCCGAGGGCAAGTGCATATCTTTCAGGTGAGACATCCCTTGTGATCTTGATGTCAGTACACTCTGAGATACGTATACTGAATGCAGGTACAGTAATTGTGCACGTACGTAATGTGGGGGGCTGTCTCACATCTGGAACGATGGTGTCCATTTCACCAGAACTTTATCTGGGTTTTCATCATTTACTAATAGCGATATGTTAGAAGTCTGCACATTATTCTCTTTCACACACAGTGCAAAATCCAAGTTTCCTTCACTCGTTCGTACCAAATTGAAACGTTATGTATGACACTGGCAGGTTTGCTCTACCATCCCCAGGAGATCATAAATGTAACTCTTTTCATTAACCCTAGCATTCATCTGATTACAATATTAAGTAGGAAGGTTATAAGAGGTTGTTCACGGTAAGGACCCAACTTGAGTGCCCCTGTGTTTTAGTCCTCAGCTCAGTAAAATATTATGATCATATCGCAGTGTCCCTAAACAAAATTGCAGTATTTGGTTTCTTGAATTCCTGACTAGATTAATGATCGACAGGTGCAGGATTCTGCATGTTTTGCACTAAAAATTTAACGTTTTATCCAATTGTCGTTGTATGTTCTTACAAAAGTCATTCATATGGTCACCTCATTTTAAACACACATAAACTTGAAATGCTGGCATAGGTTGACTATTCACCCACATTAGCGAGTGGAAGGGGAGACCGTAAGAAAATCGAAGTGCATACACTTACTCATCAGTAAGAGAATTGTTGCTAGTTTTTGGAAGTGTGGCTGCATTGAAAATTTGTATGGACACTTCCAATCAGAAATTATTAAAAATATCAATGAGTAAGAAAAATTGAATGCTTGAACTAAATATTTAAATCAATCTAAGAATTTATAATTTCTGTAGATGTATAGAATTTTTTCTTATGAGTAAAAAATAGTAACCACATCCGCAAAACCACTCTCAATGAAAGGTAAGACAAACAAATTATTTAGTGAGGCATACAGAGACAAACTGCAATTCGAACTCTACTCTTTTGTGATGCGAGGAAGCTAAGCTTCCAGCAGGTTTGAGTTCTCATCCGCAGAGTGCGACCCGTAATACTACAAAGAACAAAGCTGATTTTTAATTGAAGGAAACATTTAGATGTGGAAGTGAATTATTTAGGATATCGACGAGATTATATTGTCCTCATCCAAAATAAAAATGAGGTTAAGAAATGTGCAACCAGGTCGACACATTAGAAACAGCAGTTCCCAAGAGAACCGTGGTTGACTACAAACCTGTCTTTGAACAGTCTGTAATATTTTCCATGTTTGTTTCTTGGCCGTGGCACTGTATGAACAATTTCGGTGTTCATATACTTAGTGCACTTGTCTGAAGAACTCACAGAATACAAATATGTGGAATGCTACTTCCCTACACCTTCTCGGAAATTCAAACATTGCTCAGACGATGGACATTGCATTTCAAAGCGAAATTCAAAGTCATAATCGAGAGGTTAATAAATATTAGTGCAAAGGATCGACTATTGTCTTACCGAAGCCAGCACAGACTAGAGTTCACGAAGAAGCCAGGAGGCCCTCTGTACATGCATCATTCCTCTACTATACACAGAAGATTTTGAGAGCCCGTTACATTTCGTGGTAGAGACGTTAACCTCTCTTGCAGTTAGACCTAATAAATCAATCGTTTTGTCCTGATCGTTGGAGTGCATGCTACGACCTTGCAAAACAGGCATCGACATAAGGCAAATTAATAAATTTCTAAGCTATGAAATAGCCGATATTTCTTTGAACATTCAGAGGTGAGCGGTGCCGAGCTGACTCATAATTACACAAAGCAGTTCAATCGTGCTTTATGTAGTCATGCAGTGTATGTTTCACGCCGTAATTTAAGTATAAGTTTTGCGGTCAATTCAGGAATGCATCTATTTAGTCATGTATGATTCATGCAGTTATTCAGGGAAGTTTTTCACAATCATATCGAGAGCTATAAGCAACCATTTCAGAGGGCCATATTAACCGATTACAGTCGGTGGAACATATTCAACTTATGTTGTTCGTGTGATGTTAATATGAAAAGTGCCTAATTATTCTGTCACTAGCAAAAGTGTTATAATAGCTTGACCAGAATTTAGCCGACACAATATAAGGTTGCTTACAGTAACGCAAGACAGATTACAACAACTTTCCCTTAAGAATGAACAGCAAAGGAATGGGGGTGGGGGAGAATAGGCAGAGCACCCTTCTCGCTTTGTCTCCATACCCAGAAAACTCAGCTCTATAATTGACAGTCAGCAATCGAAACTGGAGCCTATGACACAAATAAAAAATAGTGACAGCGTTGAGAAGTAAGAATGGACACTGCACTATTCAGAATTTTTGTCTTTATATTTTCTAAAAGAACGAGTTTTTAGTAATACAATATATTTAAAATATTGTCTTTAGTCTGATGAAAAACTGTCTAAAGATTTATTCGTGTTTTTAGAACAAATAGGACCATAGTTTTAATCTTATTAATTATGACAGAGGGTGCAAAGGCATTTACAACCCAATAATTACTTTAAATTAAATTACATTATTTATTATTTATGTGCTGAACTCACTTTGGGAGGAAGTAATTACAGAGTTAGTATGAGTATAAAACAATAACAACAGCAGTATCAACAAAAACAAAGAAACGTTAGGAAGAACAAAAACAATCGATGCAAAGACACTGAACATACCCCTACTTGATCATATGACGATGATGATGATGATGATGATGATGGATCTATATGGAATTGAAAGGAAATCGACCACAAATCAAAGGAAGTAAGGGACCCTCCACAACACAGTTAATGAACCGGAATTTCTGTCTAGAAGCAGGTTACTTTATTAATGCGTGTGAACTTGTGTAGCTACTACGTTGACGGACTGAGTGCAGCTGGACTGCGTATTTTACTCCATCCCCTCAACGAAGAGGGTCTGCAAGGGGGCTTCGACAGGGTTCTTTGGAGTACGAAGGACCCCACAAATCAGAAATGGCTCGAGGCTGAAGTACTGTATACATTCAACTCTGTTCATCAGGTAACTCTGCTTTGCTTGTTAACTTTTCCACATTTTCCATTAAAATATTCACTCTTTCGATTTTTAAAGCAATCACCCACCCATCATTTTTATTCTTCCATAACAAATGAATGTATTATATATATATATATATATATATATTATTTATTCATTCATATCTCTCCGTCTGTCTTTGCACCCATTTTCCACCTTCTGTTTCTCTCCTTTGTATTCCATTTAATCAATCCTTTTCCTCCCTCTTTCTCTAATTCGTTCTTTCTGTTTTCTATATTTCATTCTTATTTTATCCTCTACTTTTCACATTCTTTCCAATTCAGAATTCACCAAATAAGCATATTAGTCAAAGCTACATAATTTGAAGTAATCCTTAACTAAACTACAAATAAATAAATTAAGTCTACATTTCTCTTACCCTCTCCTTCCCTTGCTTATTCCTGGTCCTCTCTTCTTCCCTCTTCTTCTGATTCACGTATTTCTTCCATCTGTCTCAATCCTTTTGCTGTAATATTTGACAGTTATTCTCTCTCTCTCTCACACACACACACTTTTAGTGACTCTTCCTTTCTTTACTTGACCTGATTGTTGTCAGATTGTTTTCGAGGGAATTGCAAAGGAATCTTCTGACGCGTACCGTCGGTTCCGTGGGTTTGTGGCAGTTGACAATGTCGCCCTCAAGATGGGGTTGGGGTGCAAAGGACACTGCACTTTCGAAGGTGGATTCTGTGGTTGGACAAATGATGAAGAAGACGACTTCGATTGGTCCCTGGTAAGTTAAAGTTGTAACTCAGATTATGACTATATCTTGCTTACTTACAATTCTGAAAAATTGTATTAAATCCATTTAAAATTTTCTGTTGTTTTTTTAATACATAGCGCCGAACAAACGAGCAAAAGATTACTCTTGTCAATCCACTCGTCCCGACATGATCTGCGCAAAAATCCAAAGAATGTGGTGGAAGTTACAGACCACAGAAGCGATCCTCTTCCGAAGTGATCACCAAGATCATTTTTCGCATCAGACCCTGCTGCCACGCGCGTGTTTCCGATTATTCCTTTGTCAAGTTAAAGGAACATCTCCATGACGATTTTGCAGTATAAACCAACTCTAACAGACCTACCTCTTAATCATGTTACATATATGTCACTCTGTAGTTCATAAATCCAGTATGTACATTTTTACTTTGTTTTAAGCTATACGAAACTAAGCAACCATGAATTTAGGTCTCCACAAACATATAGATTTGTTATCGACTATATAGCGAAGTAACGCAGGTATAGTGATTATTTTCCTATTTTAGCAAATATGTCCCACCTTTTGCTCTATGTGGAACAGGAGTCAAGGCGCGTCTCCTGCTAATGTCGCCGCATTTCGACGACTACAGAGACAAAACTAATTGCAAACGTCCTGCATTACTATGAGGATGAAAGACCCAGAAGAGTGGCAGGTATAGACTTCAATTGTAGCTCATTTCGTATGACACTATACATGAAGATGGAAAGAAAATACTGAAATAATGTTCTTCTTCTCCTCCAAGTATTAAGTTAAGGGACATGTTACGTCTCCAGCTGATCTCTGCATCCATCCCTTGATCTTCCCAGTTCTAAGAATATTGACATGTGGGACTTGTATCTGGTAACTGATTTAATTGTGGTAGTCTCCTCAGATATTTTACACATGTGCGCATTTTCACTGTCTGCTTTTCCATCGTACCGTTTATATGTTCAATGTCTAGTTCGGTTTCAGTGTAATCCTTATTTTATCGGATATTCTGAATCCGACGACCTTTATCAGATATTTCATTTCTGCAGTTTGAAATATTTTTCTAATTGTATTCTATTAAGACCAAATTTTTGCATTTATAGATATTTTTAGAAGAGTCGTTGTTTCATAAAATTTAATATTTGCTGCTAAGAATAACATCTTAAGATGATGATTCACTTTTCCCACACCCATTGTATTAAAGCTATAAAATTTAAATACAGAGGCAGGAAATTCTTAAGAATATAGCTTAATGTTACTTTTCTTCAATTCTAAATCTCATTCATATTCAACTGGCTAAGCAGAATCTGTAGGAGGACCACCTGGTCTTCTTTGTGAACCATAAAACCCGACTAACGCTGCTACGTAATAACTCAATAATTCTAAGATATTCGGTGCAGCATTATGAAAATAAGTGATGTTCGGCGAGGTTATGAATGACATACCGTCCATCTTTGTGAACGAATTCAAAATCAGAGATAAGCAGAGAAGGCTGTATCCAAACCATGCCTCGTTGCACACTCTAATTGCTGAAGCAAGTAACTGATAATTATTGTAAACGTAATTGCCCTTCATTTGTTATTAACATTGAATAATTGTTCGCAGGGGCGTGGCAGTCACAATCCTTCAACGGGGCCTGCGACCGATCGCACTAGCTTCATGCATGGGGGGATGGAAGGAGGTTACGCCTACATAGACTCCTCTTACCCCCGACGTCCGGGCGACTTCGCAAGATTATCGAGTATGGAATTCGACGCCACAGGTGCTGTTCTACCAGATTTTTTTCTGAGAAGTAATGAGAAGTAATGAGTCTGGAACGGAGTCCACTCAGCCTCGTGAGGATAATTGAGGAGCTATTTCAAGGAAATAGAAAACTGAAATTAACGGCCGTGGAGATTCGTTGCTCTGACCACGCGACACCCTCTATCCGCAAAACTTGGCACTAAACTTCGCCGACAAGCGGCGGTTGCTCGGTCGGTATAGTTCGCTTGCGGACTAAAATCACAGAGTTCAAGCCATAGTTAGGCAATGCATTATGTCATTTAGAAAACACATGTAACATGAATGTTGTGTCGGAAATAGTCTGTTCTGTGGGATGTGATTAATATACACTGCGTTTCGGAAACTGAATCAGATTCATTTGTCAAATATCATGTGGAAAATAGTCCTGCTCAGCCGAGCCACTCTGGATCACAAGACAGCGGAATACCTTGGTATAGGCTGCATTGCGACTTAACAATTACATAGGAGACTTTCGAAGAAAAGTGAATGAGCTTAATAATATTTTCGATAACTGCGAGGACCAAGTCGATTACCGACCTATCCTCTATCGTTTCTCAAACAAATAAACCTTATCCCTTCACCAAGTCTAGACGCCACCAATGCCCGGCTAGGGTGGCATGTTCCACGGCCATACCAAAAAACTCTGTCGTGAGTCTCCAGTCTGTGTGAACCATACACAAAATAGTAACTGTCTGTGTTAGATTTGTCAAGAAAACTTCATTTAGTGTGCGGGGGTGGCTGGGGAGATGCAAGATATGGAAGAATGATTAGTCACACCAACTATGCTATTGCTTATCTGCCACAGAATAGAAAATAAAGTGATAATTTCAAAATACTATTGCAGTTAAATGCTAATATTCTTTCTGCAGTTACCGATAAATATTGCTGATTGTAAGTGAACATCTAATATGACTGGCATAAAGTTCTGATAAGACAATTGCATAATTACCCACTCCGTCTTATTATATTCCGCACCTTGCAACAATGCTTGCGGTAACGGGGTTGTGGGGGATGTTATAATACTTCTTGTTAAACATCTGAAACTTTCCCACTTCCCTTCTTTAAGTCACTTCAAAACAATCCCAGACTCTCCCCCCAGAATTACCCTTTTCCTCCCATTCTATGGCTTCTAATTTAAATGAAGCACCGTCTAGTCCTTGCTTCTTCTTCTAAATTGTTTTTTCGCGAAATTCTTCTACAAAATTACTGTTTTATATCTGCATTGGTCACTACTGTTCACCTTGTTCAGTAGAAATTGTTATCCGCAATTGATGGGTGTTCGAACTAACAACGGATATTGCTTTCAGATCCGGACAAACCACTCTGCCTCAGATTCTGGACGCATATGTACGGCAACGGGATCGGAACTCTGAGTATTCTCCTGAGTGACACCAGGGAGAACAAGGAACGGGAGATCTGGAGCCTTTCTGGAGAAGCAGGCAACGCCTGGTACCAAGCAGAACTCCCCATCTCTTCCCCTAACCCCTTCATGGTTTGTAAAGAATTATGAGGCGCTTATATTCAAGGTTTTGGTTTTGAGCGATAGCCAGTTACATATCTTACTTTTGTTTAGTTTCTTCGCCTATAAAATATATAAAGAAGGCTTGCCCTATTACATATATCGGCCTCTGTAAGTCTGTGGTGCGTATGCAAGTAGTGTTCGTTATTATGGGTGGACAAACAGAACACTGAGGACAATCGAATCTAATATCTTAACTCAAAGGCATTCCAGAACATTAAACAAGACTGTCAAGGTTGTACCCCATAATTTAGTATAAAATATTCCCAACAGCAGTTTTTGCGGTTTATTAAACTCATTTGTGGCGGGTTTATAAATGACATTTCAACAAAACATATGCTATATTACAACAAGCGTACAGTGTCTTGGTTTAGCATAATCTGATACAGTTTATAGGATACATGATTAAGCCTATTATAAAAATTATACTTTATAATCGAGCGATGTCGCCAACAATATGATACACTAAATTATGCATAGTTGTTTAATATTGAATTTCACCAACATCTGACAAACGGTTTATGAAAAACATGCACGAATATACGAGTATTTAGGACCCTAAGCCAAATAGGTTCTCTATCTGATCAATACGGCTAACAATCTGAATAACCCAACTGATCGTAATTATATATCTCCTACACCGAATTTCAACGAAATCTGTGAAATGATTTAGGGGATATGTAGAAAAGTCAGTTCATGGCCCAATACCAAGCAGGCTGAAAAAACAGAACTACCAACTATAGTTATGCCTGTATCTTTCACATTAAATTTTACTAAAATTGTATCAACAGTTTACAATATACACGAAAAAATTCATTTATGACCTTACGTAAAGAAGAAATTGAATTTGTCGAATGTGCTAATATTATGCAAACATATCTCATGTCGAATTTCATCAAAATATACTTAATGGTTTCATAATACAGGTCTACATGAAGAAGTCATTTATGTTCTTATGTAAATTAGACTTTGTTGTAAATGAATGTGATTGAACATTTGAATTAACTTATAGAAGAAATTTCCCAATTCAGAGTTTAAACGATTTCCAAAGTTTAGGTGCTATTAGGTCACAGAGAGGCAGACCGAGAGAAAGACAGATCGATCAAGGCTTCCAAATAAGGGGTTTTAGTTTGTGACGTTTTTTCTTATTCTCTAAAGAGCCTCTAAAAATCGACCCCAATTTGAACTCTTCACACATCAAAAGGGCTCCTAGTTTCAACCGATTCTGTGAAATATTCGTAAATATTTCCTGAACAGTTACAATGTTCTGACGGAAAATTCTGTAAGAGTGACGTTAAGAAAAGTCTGTCTTTTGATTCAAAATATATGCACATGTAATTTGTTTGCCTTAATTTCACTCCCTATTTAATACTCAAAAGTATAGATATAACGTAGCAATCATTTAAATGTTAAAAGTTCATTTTTTTGCAATTTCTTCCAGAGATTTTCAAAAGATTGTAGTTATCACGTAGATAAATCACAGTTTTGTCCGTACGTATTTCAGATCATCATATCTGGCAAGGTGGGCAAGAACAATCTGGGAGACATCGCTCTAGATGACCTCTCCCTAACTCACGGAAGCTGTCCAAGTCAGTATACATTTCACTTCCTTCGGCAGGCATTACTAAGAACGTGTATGATAATGGCACAGTATTAGTAGCTCCTATTAATGGTGTCAGAATGACTGTTATACATTTTAAGGAATTATCCAACAGAATTTTATCATTGTTTGAAAAAATCACCTCCATGCGATACACACCTATTTGCCTGAGATATGTTTAATACTATCCTGACATCCAAGTCTCAGTCAACAGACTAAAAGTTTTGCAACATACAATTTCCTTATACTTCTTTCCCATGTGACCTACATGTTGAGCACATTTCAGCATTTTAGACTTAATCGGACACAGCAGTAGAATTTCATTACGCAATTGCAATATTCCATAAGCATCTCATCTCTCAGTAGCTCAAGTATTCACTTCAGTACCGGGCTGTTAAATGTGCTCTGTTTTCCTTCAGGATATTGAAAATCCAGTGTTTACATCTGTACAGAACAGGACTCAAGAATGCATTTTCGAGCAGTAATTTATTGTCCTATTATTTTTATTTTTTTTTATTGCTATTGAGGTGGGAGGAAGTCCCTTGTACTGCGGCCACTTCTGGCTTATTATACCAACTCCAGATGATAGGTGAGGGTGATTGTGGAGCAATTGGTGGAATGAAGATTGGCAGGGGAAACCGAAGTACTCGGAGAAAACCTGCCCTAGCGCCACTTTGTCCACCACAAATCCCATTTGACCAGATCCGGGATCAATCCCGGGCAGCCGCGGTGGGAAGCCAGCGACTAACCGCTTGAGGTATGGAGCGGCCTTATTGTGCTATTAAAACATCTTCGGAAGTTGCCAATATTGCATATTGCATGTTGATTTTCCTTGTACAAATTCGACTCTTTCTACAACAATATCCACTAATATGACCACAGAATATCATCAGAAAAAGAAACACAGGTTATACCAAATTTGCAGCTGCCCCTCAAATCGCGGCGCCGATGTCAGGAGACTGCACCTTCGAAGTGGATGAATGTGGATGGACTAACGTTGGGGCAAGAGATCGAGTGGATGACATAGACTGGGACCGCGTGTCCGGGCAGGGTACGCGGACCTCTACCCACGATCATACGCTTGGATCTGAGAAAGGTAAATAATTTACTTGTTCTGCGTATTATGAATTCATCTTATCCTTGCAAACAATCCATCTTCCTGGCAGGATAAGCTCACTACTCTTAATAATATAGCTTTGCTTCTTAAAATATGAATCACCTAAAGAGAAATCCCTTTCTTATTTGCAATCACCTGTCAACCAAAAAATCAGACACACTCTTTGCTTCTGCATCACAGATAAATTGGCCAGCGTTTTTAAACATTTCTCCTGCATTTGTACATGCAATTTAAAGAAAATTGGTTTATGAAATTAGGCTTTTATCTTATGAAGCAATAGAGGTATTGGGGAAGACGAAGTTTTCAAGTGATTATAAGGGACATGTTAAAATAGGACTTGAGAGAGGACTAAGTAAAGAGTGAACTTCGTAGGTGTTACTTACGGGACAGAAATCCTAATCATTTACCCACTCGGATAAAGGCTGTATGCAGTGTTCCGGAGATCACTGCATTATGGTTCTAGGACACCATTTAACTTGCAGGAGTGGGGAGTTAGGGTTATTTCTAATTATCTCTCAGAGAACTTCGACAATACATTAAGAGATCGCTTCGTAATTCTCATTTTTCATGGTAATTAAACATGCTAAAGAGGCATCGTTTCTCCATTTATGGTCTCAGGCGCCACTTTTAGATAAGTTTGATATTGTGAAATACTAAGGGATTGTCTACAGATACTGAGCCTCAGTTTGTAGCTTATTTAGATTGATTAATGTGGAAAGTGTTATCAAGGGAAATATACATGTTTCTGCACGATTCCAAAGGTAATTTTCTTATTATAAAAAACTTAGCTATGAAAATTCAAGGTATATATCAATTTCCAAATTAAATCATTTTTTAAAAATGATGATATAAAAAGCTACTTAATGAAACTCAGTAATTAAAATTAAGGCCTATAACACACTTTTGACTTGTATTGAATCTTATCAGAATAACAAGAAGGTGAACCCATCGTATCTCGAACAAAATATTATATGGATAGACATCTGGGAAGGAATGACTTCCTCTTAGGTAAACGAAAAAAAAATCGTGAACAATTAATACATCTTCAAACAGTGCAATATTAACCTACTCAGCAAGAAACACCCAATATCCTAGTGCCTTTCTAGAGAGACCTGGACCAACCCCGATAACATTTGTTGCTTCTTTGTTCTACCATTTCTTTCACTATAACGCGAAAGTATTGAAGTTTCTCGTCCATGTTCTTTGAAAATTTACATGTTTGTATTGTTAAAGAACTGTAAATGAAGAGAGAGTAAGTCTTTAGTTCTGAGCAAATTCGACGGAATAGGAATAAAGACAATAGTGGTTTAGATGCACTTGTTATAAGTCTAGTCTGGAAGGTGGAATAATGGTCGAAAATTAAGGATATGAAAGTATTAATGTAATTTAGAAAAGCAAATTATGTATGAACCGAAATTGGGATTATTGATTTTTAGGCTATTAGAAATGGCTGCTTTTTCCCGTGATTTTCTACAAATAAACATTATTGAAATATTGTCTTTTTATTATGTCCATAATAGTCTTATAAATACACATTTACCTAGCCGAACCATATTATTTACTGATGTAATGCTGCATAATGATCTCTATATGCATTAAGTAGTTGTCAAGCAAGGAAACAGCTACGAAACTAGATTACTGTGCACAATAAAGTCCGCTGTATTTTCCCACCAACCGCAACTGAGACAGACGGAGAACGGTAGACGAAAATATTATATATATATATAAGATTTAAAATGTTACAGATTTTGCTCTTTATTAAACTGAGTTCAGAGAGTGACACTATTAGGCCTTATAATATGAACTTCCCCTAGATTACACTGCATTTATTTTTCAGGATTCCTCATGGCCTTAGCAAGGAATAATGTTCAGCGGCCAGGGAGCAGGGCCTGGTTCTCCTTTCAGGAAATGAAGGCGACTACGCTACCACAGTGCATGTCGTTTTGGTAAGGCGAATGCATTTTTCAGATTGATTTATTTCTTGTTCAGACTACCTGAATAATGTGGGACAGTAATTTCCGCTGCAACGAAAAACATATCCCGTTCTTGTATTATTTACAGTATCTATAAGCAAGAGGGTAGCCGAAATACCGTAGCTGGTCTAATTACTGGCTACTGACTGGACGACCGAAGGGTCGGGGTTCGAGTCCCGATAGGGTCTGGGCTCTGGGGTCCATCCAACCTTCTATTTAATGAGTATCGGAGGCTCTTTTCCCGGCGGTAAAGTTGCCGGGGCGTGAAGCTGACCACTCACCTCCAGCTAATGCCGAGGTCAAGAAAATGTGGACCTACATCCACTCCCCCATACTGCTTCATGGCTTAGTGCTTAATTAGCTAAGCACAGGGATAACTTTACTTTACTTTTACCTATAAGCAAGGCTGTCACATTCAGGATGTTCAACTAAACCGCACGCCCCATAACATTTATTCTTAATAATCTTCCATACCAAAAATTTATGATCTGTGTCAGGTTTAGTTACCTTCTGGAAATAACTGCATATATGGAGAATTTAAATACACAGTAAGAGAATACATATAAACATACACACATACATACATAGGAGACGATATTTCAAATCATTGACAAGGTGAATGAATACCAAGAACGCCATTCAACAGAGCACCGAATACCCAAGCCACCATGAGCCCGGGAAGCTACTCGCAAGGTCAACGTCTGGTGCAGTGCGACCCCCTTACAAAGCGTATAGTACAGACCGGTACTGACGTCTGTCTAATTTCGCGAAAGGCTTGAAGAATTCTTCGTGCTACGGCCACAGTAGGAAAGCACGGACGTATTTCAAGTGTACGATCCATAACGATGTGTAGCTCGAGAAATTCCTTCGAAGTTCCGGAGGCCTCCATTTTCAGGAGTCAAGGGTGAGCCAAGCCAGCAAGGAGCAAAAAGCAGGCGGCAAGCAGAGCTGTTTGCTGAATCCTTGCTTGGCGTACTTTTCAACACTGAAGATGGAGGCTAAATTTTTATCCGAAACGTCAGTATACTTTTACCGAACGACACCACGTTATAAACCAGAATATAGTAATCTTAATACTCGCTGCTGTGTGAACCTTAAATCAAACACTAGTACGATTTTTTTTAATAAAACCTGGTGCTGCCATATTAGTCTTTGGAAAATTATTACTTTCATGAACAATATGTTCAGTGGTAAATGGTATGGCGAGTGTAGCCTTTGACGTATAAATTCATCTGACTTAACGCCTTTCCATTTATTTGTAATGGTTCATGAAGAACAATGGCTGATGTACCATGTCCTACTACCATCGACTTCTCTGAGGGCAAATATTGTTACATATTTCCAGCATATTACGCCGGAGATGTTATAGTCTAATGGGAAGAAATGGCTTTCCTGTTACCAGCTGTTTCTTTTGCACCGGGGGAGAGGGCAGGTCTTTTATGAGTCCTAACAGACTTAATTAAAATCTCATATCTCTGTAGGTAACTTGTAACAGTTGCTATTTCACGGGGTTTATATTTCAGTACCTAAAGAGATCAGGTGTAACTCGCATTATATTCATAGCTTATGGGAATTGTGACACCTCAGTTACGGACTGAAAGGGCAGAGTTCGATTCTCAGTTGGGCTTTTAAAATTCTTCTCTTCTCCATAGTATCCATATTCTGGAGTTCACGTAGCCTCATTCTTTCTTCGTTTAATTTTTTTTTTCATTTCTTACATTTGGATGGACTACTTTCAGTTATGTTGAAACTTTATTTGATTTGTAACGAAGTATTTCACAGGTTTGTGCTGAATGAACCTTTCATTGACAACACGGGTCCCAGCCTTGGTTCTCTCACAGTGTACACTAAGAACGCAAACTCCGTGATGACTCCAATATGGAGGCTGTACAATCACCAGGGCCCAGAGTGGAGATACGCGCAGGCCCTGATTCCAGAAACTACGGAGCATATGGTACGACTGTTTGTAAATTCAAAAATAACAAAGTGCTGTTATCATTGTTCCCATATATCTGAACTGTGCCACATTTTCAAAACATCTGCTTCCTGTCTTTACGTCATGTTTTTGCCCTGCATTTTGGAGACGAGACAGTAACATATACTTAGTTTTCTGTGTGTTTACTTCTAGACCAACATCTTTACTTGCGTCAATTAAAGTCTGTGTATTCTTCTTTATGGTATCTACATTACCACCCAGTAGATTCACATCATCGGCGTAGACCAACAGCTGATGTATTCCGTTTAATGTCAGTCCCACCTGGCGTTACTGGATGTTCCTAATTGCATATTCTAAGGCAAAGTTGAAAAGGAGTGGCGATAAAGCATCTCCTTGTTTTACACCATTCTGGATAGGAAATTTATCAGACAAATGTTTACCTACAAGGACTTTACTATACGTTTCGTTTAAACACATTTTAAAGTCCCACTCCACTAGCAATAAAAAAAAGTAACAGAATTCGTTCAGGGCAGTTACAGGTCACGAGTCGGTCATGAGTGAGTCCAGAGGAAATTTAGTTCCGAGATCCCAGGGTGATTAAAGACGAAATAAAAAAAAAACTTCATAGCTATTTCTAGTGTTAATTTCTGTGTTGAGATCCATTGCTAGGAGCGACTAGTGGAAATTGAGAATCTTAGTGTGTTCGCAACGGTGAACTGGAAGGTGTGAAAGTCAGTAATAGTGTAATAATTACTTATAGTTACAAATAGTGAATATCCAATAAATCGACTTACCGATCCAAATTCGAGCCTTTAGTCGCCCATACACGTGACAATATACGTATACTCTTCAACAAAAACGAATAGGGAGGTCAAATATGGGGAGGGGTGTGGGAGGATGGGAGGGCTATGTTGCACGTATAGAGCGAAGTGAAATACGTACAACGTTTTTGTCAGAAAGTCTAAATGGAAGAGTTCATTTGGGAAACCAAAGTGTAGATGAGAGAATGATATTAAAAATCAATGTTAAATCAACAGCTCTTAGGGCTGAAGACTAGTTTACACGTAAATTGGTTTCATGTAGGTTTCAATGGCAGCCCATTGCGAACACGGTTATGAATCTTATAGTTCTTAAGAGTGAGGAATATCTTGACCAAATGAGTAAATACGTCCACTTTCTACCCACACCCCACAGTAATATCGCCAAAGCAGTGGGTTAGTAACAATACTTGTCTGCATTATCAACGCTAATCAGACTTATTTTACAAAATTGAAATATTGTTAAATTAAACTAAAAAATATTTTCCAGCAATACTTATTATACGCGTATATGCTCAACAGTAGTTCCAGTCTCACGTTCTGTGTATTTTTGACTTCAGCAAATTGTGATAGAGGGAACGTGGGGTTCCAGCAGAGCTAATGGCTTTATTGGCTTTGATGACATCACTTTCTTCGGAGCAGCATGTTCCAGTAAGTTCATTCTCTCTCTCTTTTTTTTTTGGTAACCCACCGACTCATTCTCCGATAATAGAGCCCGAAGAGTAATCACCTCTATTATGGAAGTCATCCAGTAGATATAAGACAGAGCCAACACTCCTCGAAAATTTACATCAGATTTCTAGATTTAATTTAGCCACTGCTTGCATATGACCCATGTGTACATTTACGGCCATTTGTGTACCTAATCACTCTCAATTTCCATACAAGTTTGGCCATCGCTGTATGAGCATTATAAGCCTAACTGCCTACAAGTTCTGTAAGCCAACGTACGAAATATCAGACAAAATCCTGGGCCTACTTATCACCGTACTTGGCTTCCTTACGATTCCCTGAATCGGTGAAAGATGCGAAAACAACTGGTATGTATATATATATATATAAGACATGATTAGAGCTTCAAAGCACTTCAACGCCAACGTTCCTGTGAGCTTTAATTATTTTTGGATGGTATGTGAATAATTTGTGTCGCATATACTATAAACAATTTCAGTAGCCAAATTAATTTCTAGCTTTCGAATTTCTGCAGTACTTTATAAATTACATTTTATGATCATGTTATTGCGTCTGTTGTGGCTATTAGTATTATTATTATCTGTGTTATTTTTGTTGCTGTCACTAAAGTTATCACAAAGACAAAACAACTCCGTCCAGTGTGACTATTTAAGTTTTTACTACTTGAAAACTTAGCACCCTTACATGTTTCGGCCCTTACGGACCATTTTCAGGGGGAACATCGATACTTATTTGGAAACTACTATCACAATGGGTGTTCTGAGTGCTGAAATACATACATACACACAATGCCTGCAATGCACAATATACACAAAATCCCACTTCCTCACAACCACAGCAGCTTTCTTGGTATATTACAGTTTTTAAAACTTTGTTGTTTAAGTTAAAATTTATAAACAAAGTAGGTTCGTGTCCCTTCTCCTATCGTCTTTCTTGATGGGGGCTGAACTTGTGACGCCTGTCTATCTTGAGAAGGAGATTCTGCAAATATATTATGGGTATTGTATTATTTCAGCGACCCTATAGTATATATATATTAAGGATTTTGTTTCACCCTACCTTGGTATCGTCCTGTGTTTGTTCGTGTCGTGTTGTGTTGTTTTCACTGTTCTAGAGATCTAGAGTGTGCTGTGCCGCGTAATTTATACTTCCTGTGTCTGTGACGTTAATGTGGGCGTGTTCTGATGTTGTGTTATGAGGTCGAACATGTTACGTTGGCTATTACTTTCTTTTGTGTGTTTTTGTTCTTCTATCAATTTATTGAACTTATTAAAGCGATATATATGGAAGTCTTCTTTTATATTCGTGATACCTCCTTTTTTGGCTTTCTCAATCATTCCCATCGGCCCGTACTGATGGTGTTTATTTAGTATGTGTTGGGAAAATGCTGATTCATCTTTGTTTAGTCTTATGTTTCTTATGTGTTCTTTGTATCTTGTTAGATTTCTACCAGTTTGGCCGATGTATACTTTTTGGCAACTTTGGCATGTTATTTCCTATATCCCACTTTGTTCGTAGGGGTTTATTTCTCGTGTTTCATTTATTAGTTTACCCATTGTGTGGGATAGCCTTCAAAATAACCCACGTGGATGACACTTTTGTAGTCTGGTCCCATGGTTCAGAGAGATTACAGAATTTCTTCGACCACCTCAGTAGTTTAAGGCCTTCAATCTGCTTCACTATGGAAACTGAGTCCGAAAACCCGATATCTCTAAGCTCTTTAATAAATAATTTGAATTTACGTGTGGTATCGGCACATCAGCTGCTGTTCTCTTTCCATTACCTCTATGTGAATGAGGACTTGTCCCGATTCTTCTCCCACAAGCCCCCTACTAATGTTGAAAATAGCTCCTACTGGTTGTCACTGTTGAAGTTGTTCTTGTTGTTATACTTTTTTACACTTTCCTAACGTTATCAAGATTACAATAAAACTACTATTCTCTTTACCATCTAAAACTGTCTTCTGATATTGTATGTATCAAACATTGCTGAGGTTGTTGATGATATTATAATTGCTATCATAGTCATTTTCACCATTATTACAGCCATACCGTCAGGAGCGTACGTTCGGGTAGGTGAGTGTCGGTTTGAAAGGGACACGTGCGACTGGTATAACGACACCACACAAGATAAATCGAGTGCTTCATGGCGCTTGGCTACTGTATCCAGGAGACCCGCCAACCTCCCCGATAAGACTTTCGGAGCTCCAGGTAACAACAACAAAGAAGTTGTAATACTTTAACCTGTTTATTTGCAAAAAGATGACATGCATGAACCAACCCCTGTAGCTGGAGCTCAGATACACGGAATCCCTCTCTGTGTGCGGAGAATATAGGTTTCGCAATGGCCTAGTTCTCCACCGAACTGGTTCTGCTAAATTCTATTAAGGATTTAAAATGTGAATGCTCTAAATAAGGTCATGTTCGATATGAAACTGCGGTGGAACGAATGGAAAAGTATTGAATTACTCTTTCTGTTTAGGACACTCGGAATTGAATCTGGTAATACCTTAATCCTACTGCTCTCTACTATTCTTGAAAATACCCCATAAGCAAATGTATTTATTTTATTTTTGGCAGAGGGATATGTCTACTTCGACCTGTTCAACCAGAACGTTGGCAGTAACCCAGTACGCCTCATCTCTCCCACAATCAGCGCCGTGGAAGAAAGGTCCCTCTGCTTTACGTTCTGGTTCGCAGTTTTTGGAGCAGGCGAATCTGCACAGCTGAGGGTCGTGCGTCAGGACAACAGCTCCAGCGACAACGGCGAGAATCCTCCGCTCGAAAAGGCAAAACTGAAGAGCTCGTACCATCACGAGTGTATCATCACCATCCTCATAATTCTAAATCTTCCGCTTTTCTTTTCCTTCTTCCTTGTCTCTTTCATTTTAACCATACTGAGGTCAGAGAGAGAGAGAGAGAAATGATGATGGATGGCGGGACTAACGACACTCAAGGCTTCCAAATTTCTGATTTCTGTTGCATTTTCATTCAGCTCCTCCGGAGTACGTCAATGAGACTAAAGAGTCTATCGTTGGAGAAAGCTGTCACCACTAAAATTCATGTGAACAGAATGGCTAGGCGACAGGAGAGAGAAGCGTAAATGAATCAGATATACACGTACACTCATTTTATCAAGAATCCTTTGACTGATTGCCATCTTCAAGAAGAACTCGTCACTGGACCTTATTCTGAGCCAGATGAAACCATTCCACACTCTGACATATTAACTACATAAGATTAATCTCACATTTAAAATGTATTCTCATAATCTTTTTGAGAAATATTATGGGACCTACATAAATGCACTAGCTCTAATAACCTCCACCTCTCGCCGATCCTTGATTTTAATTGTTGTTATATGAGCGCGGATCAACTGTAGACGGGAAGATGTGAAGAGAATAGTTCCGTTTGCTTCACAACCATTACAGACGTTCTGACCTGCTACCACAGAGACAAGCTGGTTGCTTCGGTTTGGTATTGTATCGTCTGCTGCTGAGTTAGATATGCTAGGTTGATTACGAAGTACTAGTCATTCAGGAGTCACAGTTTCCGGTTTTAATTTCCTTTGCCACTTACCCTAGAAAATATCGGATAGATATGCAGCAGTCTGTTTGAAGAGATGCATCCCGCGTACCAGCTTTTCCCCTAATCGATAACTATTCTAGGAATGCTATGCTCTCCATCTCCAACACATGTACATTTCGTTACGCCTATGCACCATTGTTTCCGTCCTGCCGTTTCATTCTATTTTTATAGTACTCTGCTGAACAGATGATAGTAATCAAATATATACAAGTGAGATGGAAGATTCTAATTCATCATATAAAACACAAAGTACTAAAATATATGAGATTTGAAGTTTTCACAGCTGTGACTATGAAGAATTCTGTTTTCTGGGATGTGGCGCCGTGTATATCTTGTTTGAACCGAAGTTTCGGAGGAACGTATCACTTCCATCTTCAGAGTAGATTGCAGTCACCTACTAACGCTGGTTCCTCGCTAGCAGATTTTTCTACCCTGAAGATGGTAGTGATACTTCCTCCGAAACTTCGGTTCATACAAGATCTACACGGCGCCACATCCCAGAAGACGGCATTCATCATACTAAACTATAATTAACATTATTTTGAGAATAATACAAACTGTGAATATTTGAAAATAAGGAACATGTCTGCTTCTTAGAAACACTGAATACGTAGGGGGAGGAAGAAACTGAATATCGAGAAAAAGCTGATTAGTATGATTTTCCCAGGTGTTTAGTTTTCAGATATCCACTTACCAAGAAAACTCACATGAAGATGGCATAATACTTGCCGTTAAACGAAACATGGGGCATGTCACACAACAATTCAGGCCTTATAAAGCTTCGTAGATCTCTTGTCTTGAAGTTGCGTTTCATTTCCATACAAGTTTATTTTATGGGATTTTGCTTCTAAAATGTTAATCCCCAAGCAATACTGAGTTCAGATACTTACGTTACTGAAATACAAATCCATTTTCTGGCAGGTGTGGGCCTTCGATGCAAAGCTCATGGATACCACACGTCCAATTTGGTTTCCGGCCCAGGTCGCAGTGGACGCTCAAACTGACTTCCGCATCATGTTGGAAGGTCAAGCTATGAATGGTGGATTCGCAGTGGACGACCTCATGTTCTCTCCTGGGTCCTGTTCAAGTGAGTTTGATCTTCAATAGCAGATCTAATGTTGACGAAATGTGTAATGATTTATTTTAATTAACCGGACCATATTTCCTTCCAGCGAGACCCGAAAAAGCTGCTGTGAAAAGTCAAGAGCTCAAGAAACAAGGCCTAGTCCTGTAGCCGAATTAAAATCTACACCTGCACAAATGTGACAGAGAAACTAAAATTAATATGCCGCTTCAATTACTCCTGTATATTCTGAGCTTATATTCTGAATAATTTATAAATATATATAATTACATTTAACCAATCTCAGAACTCAGTAATTTGCAGCAGATGTCTAACTTCTAACATTACGCAGTGTACATTGAACAGTATATAGGTTAAAATTCTTGTAAGTTTTGGGAAATATTTTCCTCGCCATCATATCCAAGACAACTCCGCACGGACTGTTGGTTTTTCCCTAGAAGACATGGTCACATATCTCCTTGCAATTTCGAAGAAAACAGACTTCCAGCATTTATCTTCACATAACCCATGCTTATACGTGGCACCGTGCTTGTAAACTTGAGTAACTTTAATTTCTTCATTAAATTAATTCAAGTTAGAAATAAAAAATTATGAGGTTCAAGTTTAAAACAGAAGTAAATCTGATATCTCCCTTTCTTCGAAATTCACGAGAGTTTCAGATCTGTCCTGGGAATGAAGATTTTTATCGAGCACTACTAATAAATCATCCATGTATTAATGTCAGAATTATGTATTATGTACAGAGTTTATTGTGAAACAATATATATCATATAATAATCACAACATATGTAATATCTTTGAAATATGGCATTGAAAACATACATTTTTATATACTTTGTCAATTACATAAAGCCAAATGTAAAATGTTTTTTAATCCAAATAACTGCAGTCATTATCTCTCTCAAAACCACATACAGGCTAAGAACTAAAAAACTGCAACAAATGCTTGACACTAAGGTCACCAGGTGGGACTGGAGCAACTGGGATACCTAGCGCTGCTTCTTATTATTATCTCTTTGCAATTACTCGTATTTGACATCAGCTAGCATAAATTTTCACAACCCCTATTCTGTAATAATTTTTGGCATGCTAGAGTATATCGTTCTGTAACTTCATTATTTTTGGGTCGTCTAGATTCGTCTGAGTCATATTTGAATGTGTGAAATAGCTGATGAAGTATTTCATTTATTCAGTGTGCAATGAAATAGCACGAACATGCTGAGTAACGTAAGGAATAATGAGAATTATTATTATCATTGTTATGCCTCTACAGCCCTTTGTAGGGCCTTGGCTGCTCAGTTTCCTGATTATATACACAGTCGGTAGCATTCCTTGGACGAGGGATCAGCCCGCAGCAAGGTCTCTACTTACACACAGAAGAGAACAAAAACCGAAGAAACGCAGACATCCAAGCCTTAAGTGGGAATTGAACCCATGATACTACCGTTCGATTGAGTGAACAAATTATGTCTCAGACCGCTCGGTCACTCTGATCAGAAATGAGAAGTTTATGGCTATATTGAAGCTTAAATTTACAAATCTAATCGACTAAAATAAAATTTACTTCGTTTATTTGTTTACTTCATGTTTTATTTAAAGAATAATAAACAAAGCCTATAAAATTTATGACAACCAATCAAACAAAAGTGTCGTAATAAATGGATATTGGTTTATTAATAGTTATGGCTTGGTCAATGAATTTTTTTAGTTGAGATTATGCTTATTATTATTTGGGTTTTATTGATTCACCTAAGATATCACCGTCTCACAAGATATACACGACTGTATGTGTCGTTCATATGTAGGTTGTCTTTGCTGATTTCATACATGTGGTATTACAACCTCATATTCGAAACCTTACACAGACTCTACAAAACACACACACGCAAACTCACACGCGAGCCTCCTTTTCCTTAGAAAGCCCTACCATGCACACAACAGAATAACCAGCAACAGAGCGCTGATGCCTACACGTCATCACAGTACACACTATAGAACAGCATTAACAGTGGACATCACCTATACGAGCAGCATACAACAACGCAAGAAGCACCCACGCCGAAACACTCGAATGCAGCGCAAATAATTCCACGTTTATAAATATTTTATGAAATAATGTTAGTGGTTTAGAACAAGGAGTGACTTAAAATTAACATCGCTTTGAAATGTGATATGCAGTTTGACGTGCGGTGAAACAATTTTAGCAAGAAAACATATATCTGATGATGGCCGTATACGGCCGAAATATGTCATAGTAAAATAAATAATATAAACTTGCATTGAGACGTTTATATATGTTTACTAGTATTTACATTAATGTAACAATATGCTTGCCGGTCACGGTAGCCGAGCGGTCTAAGGCGTGTACTGTCTTCGCTCGCTTGGAAACCGGGATCGTGGGTTCGAATCCCACTCAGGGCATGGATATTATTTTGTGTGTGTGCGTTTTTCTGTGTTTGTGTACAGGTAGAAGCCTTGCGACGAGTTGATCACCAGCCCAAGGAGTCCTACCGAATGTGTAAGATCTAGAAAAACCGAAGTGAACGGAGAAGTTCATGGAGGTAGGCCTAGGCCCACTGGGGCTGTAGTGCCAAGGAAAAAAAACAATATGCTTAAGTACAATGTCCTGTTGCTAGTCCTGTCATCCGTGGCTACTATTACTACTCAAAGTTAAGGCTGCTTTCCCATTGGTGCAGCCGGGAGCATGTGACGTGCAATTCTTTCTGTTTGTATCTGTCCCATCACTTTTTACGAGTCCTCTAGTACCGACATAAGTGAAACTTCAGTTTCAGCAACCACAGATGCGTGCGATCGGACTAGCCAGTTTCTTACCGAATTCACTGCGTAGCCCACACGCAACAGTGGATACAGTGTACAATGATGTGGTGTCTTAACTGCTTTACTTTTCCTACTGGGAAAGGCGACGCATTGAATGACAAGAAATTTGTGCAGTAGGTGGAGAAAATTATTCGGGCATTTATAATTGTTAGCTGCTTGAAAATATTTCTTGACACTAAGCAAAAAATGCAATCATCCAATCAGTCGCTTCAGTGTATGAGCCTAAACTACAGTCGGTACTGCCAGTGGCAGAGAAGCTAGACAGTTCAATAGTACTTTCAGCGCGGATTTTTAAGGAAATCCTTCATATACTTTGTCCAGGTATGGGTTGTGAGTATTCTTTGTATTGGACTTGGGGTTCTAGCAAAAGTGATTATGAAGAACATTATTTTCTGTGACACGAGGATGTCTAGTTTGATGAAAAGTCTGCCGACGTTTAGAAGGAATTTACTGACTAGACCTGCGGGGTCGAGGAGTAAGTCAAGCAAGAAATCAGCAACTCAGGACGCAAACAGTGCAAATAGCTTCATACTCAAACTCGAGCACACTGCAACCTGCCCCTCGACCGACTGTATTGTCTTGATGTCTAGTCCTGCCTGGGTGTCTCCGCAGATTATGATGTACAGAAGATATACCGTATCTGTTCTTCCTATTAGAAGGAAAAATGAGTTGTGCTTCTTGATAGGTCTAAAATATATGAATGTAGTGTGAAAGTGAAGTACTTGGATGGTCTGCCTGTTCTGCTTCCGCCGTCCACAAATCTGTCACGACCTGCTTCACTGTTGGTGTACGGGTAACCACTGCCCAATCAGGGCTTATTTTGATGGGCACTGGATCTGGTGCTTTTCCCATCTGGTCCTAGGTGCGGGGGTTTTGGGGTTGGTCGCTGGTGCTGCAGTTTCTGCCGTCGTTGTGACGTACGTCTTCCATTGAGTGACAAGTTTGACCGTAAAGCTGCTGCCGGTGGGTACCTGGGGTCCGGAATGCCGCTTCCTCACTTGCTGCTGGTGATGCTTTGCGCAGATAAATTTCTGCAGCTGCAGGTGTTGCAACACTTCGATTTTCTGCCTTTATTCTTTATTCCTCCGAGCACTCTAGGTGGCGATGGTCACTCCTCCACCTGAGGCATCTTGCTTGCTCTTTGTAGTAGCTCCAGGTGTGGCCGAAACGCTGGCAGTTGTAACACTGCATGAGGCCAGTCTGGGCCCTACAAGCCCCTACTTTCATAATGATAATGGGAAGACCTCTGTGATTTCAGGCAGCGTGTGAGAATCACTAGTAAGAGGCCCAAGGTTTACAGTCACTAGGTGTCTGAGGGTCAGAACGAAGCAATAGGTCGAAAGAAAAGAGTAATTCAGTTGTTTCTGAATTAATTCAGAATTCGAACAGGTCAAAGAGCGTAACACTTCAGAAGAAAGTCTATATTCTTAAATTCAAACAACACTTAAAATAATTTCAGGTAAAATTGGTAGAAATTACTAAAATCATAATAATCCTTCTTGTTAGTCTCCTTTGAGCAACAGATGATAAATCCTAACGGAAAAAAGGAAAGCTTAGTCCATATTAACAACAAAATATGTCATGGTGTTCAGCTGATTAGCAAATCTCTCAGAGAATAAATGAACAAATCTTTTGGTATGAAGCATTAAGGTACGAAATAAATATTTCAGCGAGATTCATATTAATTTTTTTCGAATTTACCACAGCAATTGTAAGAGATTTCAAAGCTTAATTAAACGTAGGAAAGACGACATTTCAGTTTTTACCTTTCTTAATAATATAGTATTTTCTTTAAAAGCAGTTTGACATTTTCTTGACCTGCTTAACTGTGGGGAAGTAGCCGGTTGATCTTTAATGCTACATACACATCAACGTAACATCCAATATCTATTTCGTTCAGGCAGCAACTTATGCCTTTAATATTTAGTATAGAAGTAATCTACTTACATAATTATTGCATGAAAAATTACCGTGTTTTCGATTGCTACTGGAATACGACACATAAGAATTCTGTACCTGTGTTTCAGTGTTAAGTACAATGAAATGTCACGTGTTATTTCAGGAGTCTGTTAAAAATATATGGCAATATAATAGCTTCTACTACTGGAAAAGCATATCAACATGTAGCGATCACAAAATTTTAAAGAAATATATTACAAAATATCTCATTTCTGTACAATTTTAATTTTAATTTTTAATTCTAAATTTTACTACCTAGGCATTCAAGTTTTATTTTAAATTCATTTGATGCATTTAAATCTCACAAGCACACAATATGGATCCATACTGAAATTAGATGCAATTCAAGAACAAGGACTGGTATCATTGTACGCCTGATAATGGCCCAATATCAGGGCCAAAACATGTAGCGTCAACAACAAAATAAAACAAATGTTCATACAGTAGTGTCCATTTTGTTTTTTTAGGAATATTGTTGTGTAGACTGCCCCCATTATATACATAATATATCCTATATATGACACACGAAAGGATGCATACTATTAAGAGTATGTGGTAAGAAAAGAAAGGATGACTTGTTAACCATCAAATTTTAAAGAGGGTGAAGGATTATTAAATAAAATATCTGTCGTATTTATTGGTATTTTACAAAAGAAGGTATATTCAATTTTCCATAGCATATGTACAGTACATCTAGGAATAAATTAAACAATGCACAAACAGAAAATGCATCTTCAGTCTTTTCTTATTCAGCAGGTTCAGCGTGTGAAGGTCGAGCTGAAAGAAATTCATGGTTATTAATGCTGTGTTTCGTCGATCATAAAGGTATATCACTACTCTTAATATTATTTACAATGACACTGTACAAATACACGTTGATATTTTGGACATTTTGCCGTTTCTTGTGTGAACCGTGTCGCCATCGTTGCACATTTTCCGAGAAATGATACAAACGGGATAACTATTAGAAATCTCAGTTTTCGCATAAATAGCACAACTACTGCAAAGTGAGAATACTCAGTACACTCACATAATCTCACATCAAATAATTCCAAAAAATCTGTTATTATTCCTTGTAAAATTAAATATTAGCAGTAGTTCGTCTTTTCCTTTCCATATATAAAATGTAACTGTTACCGTACGAGTAAGTGCACTGCCTACAATCTGGCTTATCTGCTTATCACAAAAGTGAGTTTAATACTGAATCAGTTCTATTGGAACTACGACATTATAGGAGAATTTCCTTTTGAAATAGAATGTCTAGAATAATTTTTACTAAAATAGATATACAGATACATGCTAGTTTCTAAACTTTGGCCGAGAAATCGATTATCCTGACTTAGGGTTTTATGGTTCCCCTTAATAACGCCAGGTGAATTCCAGAAAAATCTCTTGAAATGGCATGCCATAGTTCTTCCACATCCCTTCTAGTTCGAATATAGACCGATGTCAGTTCCTGGGTTTTTCTCTTTATATTATTTCGTTACAGTACTTCATATAAACCAAATCGTCCCCCGCCACTCCTTTCCCTCAGATCTATTACAGATTACTTACTTTCACAGGTCCCGGAGAGTGTTTTGATGTCGTCGACAGCAAAGCCCCCGTTACTTGCTTGTCCTTCCAGCATGATTGTAAACGGCAATCTGGCGTCAATAGTAAACTGGGCCGGCGTCCATGCTGGATGCAATGGATCGTACCCGTCCGCCGTCATCTTCCACATCTTCATATGGAAATTATCAGTTATTAATAAGAGGCTACTGCTAGTCAAGAAAGTGGTACGTATGGGATAAATGGCAGATGCTTAAGCAATTGTATTAATATTTACCGCTCCTTCAATAAATAATAGTTCTTACCACATCACCGTCTGTTACAAATATGTCTGGCTGGAGTTTGTTGTTTCCAGTACTTACTGCTTAGATTGTATTACACCAGGTACAGGATTTTCAGCAAAATTTTCCATAAATTCTAATGCTTTTAACGTCCATTGGGGTTTTTTTTTGTCAAAGACTGCATTAATTTATGTTCCATTCTGTTCTTCTGTTCTTATGGGCTTTTAGTTCTTGTACTGAGAACTGGTAGTAACTGATTTCAAGGCTTTGTTGTCTCTATCTGTCTCTATCCAGTGGGTATCCAAGGTTCTCCTATAAGGGGTAAGACGGTCAGAGCATGAAACTAACCATTCTTCTGTACGCAGTGCTAAACTTTAAAATTGAGAGAAGCTTGAGCTACACTCCATACTTCGTTAAGGGCAGTTTTATTCCTCCATTATCCTAACAGTATCGAAAACAAAATATGGTATTCAAATCATGGAGCACGCCTACTTTACAAACATTCTATATTCCCATTTTATTTCAAAAGCCTAAAATCGAAATATTAACTTTGGTTACATCTCTAATCTATTTTCTTTCCTCAAGATAAAATACCCCAGACCTCTCACCCAAAGTGAGACACCGTAGTGGAGTGCTTACCAGCTGACCTGTTGCACTGCCAGGTCTTGTCTTGAGCACGTGGAGCTGTGTTGAGCCAGCGGCACCGAAACCAAAGTACCAGAATGTGAAACACAGGTCGTCAGAGCCCATACCGTCAATGACCGGGGAAAGCATTCGGGCCGTACTCTGTTGTTGATTGGTTGTAAAGATGTCAAAAAAGACGTAGCCGTCTACATGAAAAGAATGAATCGGTTTATTGTTGCACTGCTTAAATAGTGTATGAGAAGACAGTGCAGAAAAGCAGTTTATTTACTAAGTCTAAGAAATAGCACACTGCAGTCACCTGCTCACGCTGGTTCCTCGCTCGTGCATTTTCTACCCTGAAGATGGAGGCGATACATTCTTCCGAAACGTCGGTTCACACAAGATCTATACGGCACCACATCCCAGAGGACGGCATTCTTCATAGTCACCGCCGCGAAAACCTCAAATCTTACTTGGTTTATTTTACTTGAATTAATAACACGGCTGAAATATTAGGGTCGTGCCCCAATCGGAGCGCTAGCATTGTAGTACTGTAAATAGGTATCAATGTTTCGCGGAATGCGTTACCACCATCTTCAGTATACAAAAATCTTCTCAGAGACCGTAAACTTAACGGCATTCATGAGTGTGCTGGTTAGGTACCTATATCAAGATGACACAACAAAGGTGAAGCTACTCTCATCCCATAATACACATAACGGGAATTCAATTCGAGAAGCTAATGTGAAAACTCGTATTATAACAAGCCTATGATTACCTTGGAGACTTCCAGCAACCGAAGCTTAAAAAAGCCAATGAATGCAAAAGTGACTTGTAATTCTGGAGCTGTGAGATTGGAGTGCTAGAGAGACCCCATGTTAAAATTGCATAAAAGTAGATTATAATTTCATCTTATGCCAAATATCTTATCATCAACATAACAACGACAAATTTAAAACTGCATACGATATCGGAAATTATACATGTTGCTCTGCATTCTGTCGTTCTAAACTTATTATATCTAAATCAGTAGACTCAGTGATACAAATGAGAGATATTTTCATGAGTGGTATTTTCAAGTATGTCAAAACAACTTGTTATCGTTCACCCATATTCAAGTATTTTATCAACCGTTGCTCCTTCACTCTCCTACGTCTCCTTTGCATGTTAATAACAGGTGCCCGCAAACGAGAAAACCGCAATAACCTCCCCTAGCTATGGACAATATCACAGAAATTGTCTCATGTTTATATAAATGTAACCTAACAATGAGAATCTGGGATGTGATAACAAGTTCTTTGATAAATAAGCATCAGTGTTTTGGAGGAACTTGATGTCTTCGTCTTCAGGGAGGCAGCAAATTCCTCCAAACCATGGCACCTACCTACCAAACTGTATGATGTCACTTTGCAGATATCGGTAATTTTAATATTGATCACTGCTAGAACCTCAAATCTATGTACTTATGTACTATTATTTTCATTAAATTTTTGTGTTCATTATCTTCCTAGTTGCCTCTTTGCTAAATAGTAGGTGTCCAGAATTGTAGAAACTGTTTCCCACACTGCCGATATTCATCTGAGATAAGGGTGTGGGGACCCAGTAACCATACGGTCCGCGCCCTTGGGCATGGTCCCATTCACACCCACAGTACTGGCTTCAGGCCCCAGTAATCTGTGTTTCTCTGACCGTACCTGATGTGCCGAACGTTCTGTCGAGGAGCTCTGCGGGGCGGTGCATGTCGAAAGCCATCTGCCAAGATATGAGGCGCTCGTTCGAGTCTGAATGCGTCACATTTTTCCACCCACAGATCCCGCTTTCAAAGGAACAGTCCCCTGAGCGAACTGTTGCGTGGAGGGGCTTTACTGAAACAGTACAGTTCCATGACATATTTCCATCATCACAAAGGTCAGACATTTACATTGTCGTATGCCAAAAATATTTCTACAAAATTGATTCCGGTGCTGTCATCCTCCCTGTGTTAACATCCACAAATAATCTCTTCTCAACCAAGATAAAATAAGCCTAGATATTTCTCATCTGCTATAACCAATATTATATTTAAGCATCCTGTTGCACTCCATACGATAAATGATATAAACTCCGTCTCAAGTGCAAACAATATATTTGTTCTTTGATCTTGCTCCCTACACTACATGTTTCGGCCTCAGACGGCCATCATCAGGTGTATAACACTCACGTCGCTGTCACACTGCACCCAGTTCAAAATTTAACATCTAAAACACTCTCCCTGTCATTATCAACTTCTACTTCGTTGATAGCTGTCCACCCGTAGATTACT